CAATAGCCTGTTTTTATATTGTATCGTCTTGTATAGTTCAAATGTTTTAGATTTTGTTACTAGTTTTATATCTATACCTGTGATACCTAGTTATTTTACTGTCCTTCGTCGGCAGAATTTTTTTATCATTTCACTTTTAAATTATCGATATATTTATAACTTGCTTTAGTCACGATATGGCTGAAATATTGCCGATGTGACTTAAAATCTTAACTCACTCACTCACTGCACTTGAATTTATAACGAATTTGAATGGTCAGTCCACGTTGACCTGTGTGGAAGTGACCATTTCCCCACAATACTTTCAGCTATTAACCCGACTGTTGATCCACCTGCCACAAGGTGGATTTTAGAAAGGCCAACTGGCCTTTATTTTCAAACACTGTGTACTGACAACTTGAAATCTGATTTTTTTGTGCAATGCTCTAGATCCAATCCAGTTATTCTCTGATACACTAAAGACTATTGCTGATGAAACCATACCTAAGTCCTCTGCAATTCCTCATATTCGTAAACCATGGTTTAATAATGACTGTAAACAGGCCAGAAAGAATAGGAAAAGGCAGAAAAATATTTTCGCCGACATCCTACAGTCCATAATTTAGATAGAGTTAAAATTTTAAATGCTAAAGGCTCGATGCGAATTTAAACAAAATAAGCGTCAGTCTTGGCGAAACTATGTTTCAAAAATTAATTCCCGCACACCGATGTCAAAGGTGTGGAACATGATTCAACGAATAAAAGGCAAAGGCTCAAAATCTACTGTCCACCATTTGAAGGATGGTGATAATTTATTGACGGATAAGGCTGATATTGCCAATAAGCTTGGTGACACTTCGCCAAACATTCTTCTTCGTCCAATTATGTCCCCGAATTTCAAACATACCAGAAACAACAGGAGAAGAAGCGACTTAATTTTACGTCGGATAATGGCGAAGACTATAATGAATTATTTTCATTACATGAGCTCCACACTGCCCTTGAGCAAGCTCATGATACGGCAACAGGGGCTGATGATATCCATTATCAGCTCTTGAAGCATTTGCCAGAATCATGTCTGGAAACGCTGCTAAATATCTTTGATACAATATGGACCTCAGGAAATTTCCCGACTTCCTGGCGTAATGCCATTGTAGTCCCAATTCCAAAACCTGGCCGGGATCATACTGATCCGTCTAATTACAGACCAATCTCTTTAACGAGTTGTGTTTGTAAAACCATGGAACGAATGGTAAATAATAGATTAACATGGTATCTTGAAACCAACAACCTTATAACCAATATTCAATGTGGTTTCAGAAAAAATCGTAGTACCATTGATCATTTGGTACGCTTGGAATCCTTTGTTAAAAATGCCATAGTGAATAAACAACACGCAGTGTCAATTTTCTTTGATCTCGAGAAAGCATACGATACCACCTGGAAGCATGGCATTTTAAAGGATTTACACGATTTTGGTTTAAGGGGCCGTTTACCTCTTTTTACATCACAGTTTTTAACAGACAGGCAATTTCAAGTCCGGTGGGTTCTACCCTGTCTGACCATTACAATCAGGATCAGGGTGTCCCACAAGGCAGTATTTTTTGTCTGTAACATTGTTTAGTATCAAGATCAACAGTTTATCCAAGGTTTTAAGTGATTCAATTGATGGATCACTTTTGTGGATGATTTTAACATTTCTTGTCGCGGTAAGAATATGCATACTATTGAACGGCAAATGCAGTTGTGTTTAAATAAAATAAAATACATAAATGGTGTCTTCAAAACGGCTTTAAATTTTCTAAATCAAAACTAATTGCATACATTTCTGCCGTAAATATAAAACCACATAAAGACCCAGAACTGTATTTAAATGGCACTTCCATCAAGGTTGTAAAAGAGGCCAAGTTCTTAGGTCTCATTTTCGACTCCCATTTAACTTTTCTTCCGCATATCAAATCTCTAAAAACTAAATGCATGAAGGCACTCGATTTATTGAAAGTCGTGTCTAATTCAAGGTGGGGAGGGGATCAAGCTACGCTCCTACACCTTTACAGATCACTTGTCCGCTCGAAGCTTGATTATGGCTCCATCGTATATGGTGGAGCCTGTAAAAGCAACCTAAAACTCTTAGATTCAGTCCACCATCAAGGTCTGAGACTTTGTCTTGGGTCCTTCAGAACTTCTCCTGTTGACAGTCTTTACGTCGAGGCAGATGAACCTTCTCTTAACCAACGCCGTATAAAATTATCTTTACAATATGTTACAAAATTATATTCTAATGAGTCTAATCCTGCATTTCACTGTGTCTTTAATCCTCTTTATGAGGATTTGTATAACAAAAAATCTTCTCTTGTTCCGCCTCTTGGGCTCAGAATTAAGCCATTTGTTGCTGCTGCCGGCATTGAAATGGACAACATAGCTCCTTCCCGTCTTCTTTCTTCTCCTCCTTGGCAGTTAGTTCGACCAGAAGTTGACTTAACACTTACAACATTTAAAAAATCGGAAACAAATGAATTACAGTATAAACAAGAATATAATCAATTAAAAAGTAAATATAATACATATAAATCCTTATTTACAGATGGGTCCAAGGATGGTGGCGCGGTTGCTTGTGCCACTGTCATTGGGTCCAAAACAATATCTTCCAGATTACCCGATGACAGTTCAATTTTCACAGCTGAAGCAAACGCAATACTAACAGCTCTTAAATATATTAATAAACACCGTAAATATAAACAATATATCATCTTTTCAGATTCTCTTTCGTGTCTTCAGGCTATTAAAAATCTTTCTTGCAAACATCCACTTTTATTAGAAATTATTGAATTGTACAATGAACTTGCTACTGGCCAATGCGACATCATCTTTTGTTGGTTACCCAGCCACGTTGGCATTTCTGGGAACACAATGGCTGATATTGCTGCTAAGGCAGCACTCAACAAATCTGTGACACCACTTCTTATCCCATGCTCTGATTACAGAGCTGCTATAAGATCTTATATCCGTGATCTGATGCAAAGAAGTGGGACACCCAAGTAGGTATCAATAAATTACATGCAATAAAACCCTATATCGGTTACACTTACTTGGGTTGTCAGTCCAGATTTGAAGAGGTCATTATGCGACGATGTCGTATTGGCCACACTAGATATACGCATGAGTACCTATTAAAAGGTGAGGATCCTCCGTTTTGTATCCCTTGTGATGAGAGAATCACGGTCAAGCATGTCTTGCTTGACTGTGTTGAGTACTCCATCACAAGGGATATCTATTTCAAATCCCGAACTATGAAGGATCTTTTTACTAATATAAGTCCTCATTTAATTATTGCTTTTTTAAAAGAATTAAATTTGTTAACAGATTTGTAAATAGCTAAATATTTTATGATTGGAAGTTTGAATTAGTAACATAGATTGTAAGTGGCTGTATCCTTGAGGGGGGTTAAAGTACTGTAAAATTATTGTCCTCCTGAGAGGGTACGTAAGTCCCAAAACATTCAAAGTAAATTTCAACTTTCCGTTTTTAATCGTAGAATATTTGTAATTTTAATGTATGGCTAGATATGTCTTAATTGCTAACGGCTGAGGGATGATATAAATCCAACTAGGGTCCATGCAGGAAGCAAATGTACTGTAAGTCCCCATGGTCCCTAGTATGGTGATCCACCTTCAGTTGTTAGCGATCTATAGCCCATTTTAGATTGTGTTGTCCCCTATAGTTAAAATGTTTTAGATTCAATTACTAGTTTTACAAATATATATCTGTGATACTCTAGTTGCTTTACTGTCCTCCGATGACAGGTTTTATAATATATACATATTCCATTACAATGTAAAATGTTCTCGTCACGATATGGCTGAAATATTGCCGATGTGACGTTAAATATTAACTCACTCACTCACTCACTACATCCGTCACATACTATGCGTTGCGCCTTCTTCAGAGTATTTATGCTTTGCTCTTCCACTCGTTCAAAAATGGCAGGAGAGAATTCATCATGCTTGAGAGGCTTATGAGAGCCAGCTGTGCAACAGTTTGCAGCTTCATGTAGGTTCTTCCAGGCATTCAACTCTTCCCTGCTCACAGAACATTTCCTCAGCAAAATCTTAGCCTGGCGAATACGCATGATTTGTCTCACAACAGAACCTGTACCATGCACTGACTGGAGAAGCATCGCATTTGCATCCTCAAAAGCAAAACAACTCCAGGCCCAGATTGGACCCCATGCTTTTACATAACTTGTCAAATGAGCCCCAATGTTATGCACGTTGAGGCCACATGAACCTTTGGGTACAAATCTGCAAACTTTTCATAAAACTGCTGCAGTAGAAATTCCGCTCTGGGAGATTTTCGTGGGTTATTGTAGATCCAAGCAGCAAAATACTGCTTCAGATAAAGCTGCAAAGTGAGTAAGATACTCATCTGGTAGTATGTCCAGAAGGCAGGGCACACCATAAAACAATAGCCAAGCCTGTAATTCTGTGGCTTTGAAGTTACTGTAGTGCTTTTCAATGTCTCTTGGTAGTCTTTCTATACACTCCAATGGTTTAATGTTCTGCAAACGCTGAGAAATTCTTTTAAGCTGATTTCCAACAAAGTAGGGCTTTCCACTTTCAGTTGAGGAAAACCACTTGTACATTAGGGTTTTGGTCACACCTAACAGGACACCGTGCATGTAGTCTGGAACAGTGCCTTGCACCAAGTCATACCCTTTTAGAGAACACAATCCAGATAAACCTTTAAAACCCTTGATCCTCTTCCTGTCACTACCTCTTTCCATGGCTGTCCTTACATCTGCATCAGTCCGCAAGTTATATCCCTCGGCTCTGTATGGGTAACACCTTGCATGTCCTTTCCCTTGACTGACGATCAGGCCAGGCTCTTCGCATGTGATACATGCCTCAGCTCCATTGAAGTAGGACATGTTCAAAAGTCCTGCTTTTGCAGGAAGGTCAAAGATACCACAGAGAACTGCCATTCTGACTGTTATTTCCCCGTGTGTTGTTTCCAACTGAATTCCATCTTCATACAGAGGATTCATCTGCTTTGCAAAGGAGTTTTAAGTAATTTTGAAAAGGAGGTTTTCCCTTTCCCTGCCATATTCCCACAAGGATCATATTATCCCTTGCAAATCTGACAGCAGGGGACAGTTCGTTGATAGCCAGAAATATTGGCCTGAATTCAATCCTTGATGAAGAATACAGGTTTTACTCCATCAGTGTTTAAAACTGCGGTCACATTATGTGGACTGGAGAGAAACTCCCCTTCACTCCGCAACTTCTGGTAAGATTCACCATCTGTAATGTCTTCAATTATACCAGTGTTCCTCTTGGTATAGTATAGGAGGCTCTTTTTTTCTTGGATGTCAGACCAAATACCTGTAAAAAATTAAAAACAACATTGTTACATCAGTTAACTAAGGTGACATGTTCGTTTTGCTATTTGTTAAGCACATGGAGTCAGAACTCTTCACATATACTTACTTACGTGAAATCACATGTAGCATATGATGTACTTATTACACACCGAAATCTAACACCATCCTACAAATCAACTGACCATGACCTTTAACAAACTATTGAATGGAAATACAGATACTTGAAATTGGCCAACATGTGTTATGTGGCCAATGTTAAAGTGAAAGTATTACATTTCTGTATAAAGAAATATACAAATGACCCACTATTTCCTCATCATGAGTATATTCGCCATTCTGAACGAGATTTTAACACTCTTTGATAATTTTCAAAAGCCAGCTTTTGCGATGTGCTACGAAATTGCTGAATGTTGACTGCTGAAAGGGTCGATGTTTAGGATGTGTGTTCAGGATGTTATTTAAATGAAATTGATAAAAGTGCTATGATCATCTTACCAGGACTCTGTAACAGATTTGTCAGTTGGGCTTTCACATCAGCAAAGACAAAGCTTTGTCTTGGTTGGCGTCCTTTCTTTGACTGAGCAGAAAATGGTCCTTTGTATCGGTAACCATTACAACCTTCACTCTCACAGGCAAAAGCATCACAATCTTCTGGGAAAACTCTTTTACACAGTAAACAGTAATGGTATTCCTTGACACAAGAATCATCCACAAATTTCCAGATGTTGTCATAAGTAAGATTTTGAACAGATGCAATGTCTGGATACATTTCTTTCAAAGTTCTCAAAATATCCTTGCATGTACTTGCTGACATATTATTTCTTAAGAAACAGGAAAGCATCTTTAATGCTTGTTCTGCTTGTGGTGCTAAATTTGCTGCATTACAGCTTAAGTCACTTAAAAGTCGGGTCATTGTCATCTGAATCAGGATATGTTACATCATTATTTCTGAATAATCTGACAAACTTTTATCATCATCACTTGTCAAGCTTCTTAACTCATCTTCAGCTTCTGAGAGGCTAGAAGAATCTTCACCAGATTCATCTCCACAAGAAGAGGAAATTGAATCAATGCTGGAAGCACGGTTATCATCTTCAGATACATCCACTTGATCTATATTTGTCACTTGAGCATGTTGATAACCTGCCAATAAATAGTAAAAAGAGTTTAGCCACAAAATGTCAATTATCATCATGATCATATAGCACAATAATACTTGTCTTTCACAAAAAAACCTTTCTCAGAATGATGACCACATACAGTTGGTATTTAGGACAGATTTCACCATCTCCATTTATAAATGGCATCATGTTAAGCAGCATCAGCATCAGGATTTACTGGAAAAGTCAGAGGATTTTACCCCCGACAAAACATTGGTATTATATTAACAATTAATGTGACATATCATTTTAAATCACTTTTATGTCAATTACTCTGAATTTCTCTATATGTATTTACCCGAGGAAGTTCACTCAAAATGCAATATTTTTCCAGTGATAAATCATCATCAACAAGTTGATCAATGTATATTCTAGCTGACACTTGATTACACATCAACTAGTGGTCCACTAGTCTTGTTAGCCTTAGAAACTAAATCCAAAACAGAAAACACACCCTATAAAACTGCATTCAAAATCAACAACATTGTTTTTCCTCAATTTATAACTTCATATAAAAACTACCATATCTCTTCAGGTCATACAGACCTCTTCCAATCTGTGCCAATATGATCTGCTAAGACACTAAGACTAGAAACTTACCTTCAGATGAATCAGAGTGCGTGTTAATTTCATCCAATACATGAAATGAGGATTCAGCATGAGCAGTGATCCCTGTCTTATCAAACGGAAGGGATTTCCTTGCAACACTTTCATTTTTATGCTCCAATTTAGACTTTTTCCATCTGTATTGTGTACTTTGTGGTACTGGCACAGTGTTATCATCCAAGTATCTTTTCTGTATTCTCCGGACTGGTGCTGAAATTGAAGGAAGTATTACCGTCAGTACGAAAATATTGGTAATGCAACTGGATTTATCTGTGTATTTTTCAAATTCAACGAACATGTATTCGGAACTCATTCAAAGCACATTGAAATGGGGATTTCAAGACAGTACTTTTTGTTTCTGTGTGACATACCCCAATGTTTATTTTGCTCTGAACAAATTTTCATTTTCAATGTTATGTCAGTGAAGTGTGCAACTGATGGAATTGCAACCAGAATAGGACATCAATTATTGAAAAGCATAGGAAATGGAAGTATGTACTCAGCTATGAACAGTTGTCACAACGTAAATCAGTTTCATAACAGCTTTTATTTAGCGTGCATTTACACTATCGAGAAACCTTCGACCAAACCGGAAACATGCAGTGAATATTTTCACACGCTCTGCGCATGCGCAGAGCGAGTTGAACAGTAATGTGAAAAAACAACGAATGTTCACGACCTTCACTTATCATATGATATCATAGTAACATTACATTAAACTGCTGTCTCTTTAATTGAAGTCACCTTTTCAAAATAAACATGAAAACACCAGCAAAGCTCATACCACTGAAAAAGTGCGAGCTGTTGACATCGTCATATTTACTTCCGGGATGACACTGATCTAAGACTGTATTTGATTGGCTTAGATAGTTACAGTAGCCAATCAGGAAACGTCTTGTTTATACGGCTCACTTTCCTAACATGGCAAAGCCAAGAGAGTTATAATCTAGCTATTTCAACGTGAAATCATATATATACATACAATAATTTGAATATGACTTTATTCATCAAAACACTGATAGATTTCATGTATTGCGATGGATCGATATGTTCGTAGATAGTGCGCACAGTAAAATCTGACCGTCTATGACATTGAAACTGTGATAACATGTTTTCGTTCAGATTATTCAGTTTCTCTCTCTTATGAATTTGTCAATTATGACCTCGGTTTCTTATTATTTGGACTTTTCAAAAAATGTATGCACTAATGAATAAGATTTTCTTTACATGCATGTTACTTTTGGCAAACAATACCACACTACATATCTCCATGGTTTTGAATCCATATATACTTCATATCTGTAATCACATGTGATTACAGTACAAAGGACGGGGATATCAGCACTTCTCTAGCACCAGTGAGACTTCAAATTTGATCTGTAAAATTAAATGAGTTAACATGACATATTTCTAACTGGGTTTTGTGACGGGCTCTACCAATCTTCTACATTTTAAATGAAAATGTACTTACTTAGTCCGTGTTGAACGTGAAGATGTTTCAAAATATTCTGTTTCGATGCGAAGTGTCGGTAACAAAGAAGACATTCAAATTTGCCATTACCAATGCAACGAAATTTGCCGTCTTTCGAGGAGGCCATGCTTGCTGAACTTCCCGCCGAATCCATCCTTGGCGGAAATGTAAACGAACGTGGCTTCCCGTGATTCTTCGCGAGCTTCTGCGTCGCGCCGAGGTCAGCAATACGTTGTGTATGACTTTGATGCGGCCTTCAGATGAAACGTTACCAACAGTGCTAGAGCTGTGACGTAATACAGCTTCGACGGATCCAGGAATTTTGAAAGGAGGGGGTTCTGAGCCAACGCAAAAAAAACATTCTTCAATGTGACCCTAAATCATTTCCAGAAATGGGGGTGTCGAACCCCTGAAGGGGCTTGCACGGGATATACATAATGATAAAGTATTCTTGCAAATATTTAAACAGAGATGTCGTGATATATATAGTCAGGATTGGTCCAACGACTGGTCAAACTCCCTACTGTATGTATACTTGCGCAAACATTAAGACCGACAATAAAATGGAATTTTACACTGAATCCCTGAAATGTCATAAGCTCCGTGGAGCACTTTTCAAAGTTCAGATATAATGCTAATAATTTCTGTATTAAAATTCCCGGCGGGCTTAAAGCCCTCACCCTGATGGATCGCTTAACCCGTTCTGTAGAAACACAAATGAACACGACTTCCATGTCCTTCTTGTATGCCCTAGGTATGAGGAGAGGCAGACAAAAGGATCTACCAGAATATTTATACAAAGCACCCATCTTTCGTTAAGTTTGTAGGACTACTAGCCAACAAAAATGAAAAACTTACCTTGTGTTTAGCAATTTTTGGACAAAGATATTTGAGACTATAGAGAGACCTAAGTTTAGTCCCTACCGTGCGACTTTGTATATACGTTACAATATTATGCTATGTATTTGTCTACCCCCAGGTTTATGCACCAAGTCTAAATTTCTGCTCAAGATGTTTTAAACATCACTAACTATATATTATTATTCATTGTGTATATTCATGTATTTATATACTTATGAATCTTTGCAAACGACTACATGAAATGTATAACCAAAAGGCGCTCACGCCACTAAAGAGTCTGTACTGCCATGTTCTCTCAGCCTCATGGCCTCATAAACTCTGTCTGTCTGTCTGTTATCAACTTGGTATAGGTCGTCAGAGCTGACAAATGATGTGAAAAACTGAAAGGAAAACGATTTGTAGAGATATCGAGACTGTTAATTAGAGGTTCCTGAAACTACATGTTCTTACATGTGAAAAAAAATGTGGATACAGGAAATGTTGATAATAGACGAAGAAGTAGGCAACCATCCAAAATCACTCAGAGAGCTAGGAAGTCATTAAGTCGTACTTTGTTCGCAAAAACCGTGGGAAGTGTTTTGAGGAATATTTCTTTCCTGTATAATGAGGGGAGAGACGTTAATGTTCTTGCACGTACAGTTCAGCGGACATTGCACAAAAATATAGTATTTCGACGTGCATTTATGGAAGAGGATGCGTATCAGGGAAGAGTGAGAGTGTGTTAGTGAGTTTAGTTTTACACCGCACTCAGCAATGTTCCAGCCATATGGCGGCGGTCTGTAAATAATCGATTCTGGACCAGACAATCTAAAGTGATCAACAGCATGAGCATCGATCTGCGCAAATGGGAACCGATGACATGTGTCAACCAAGTCAGAAGGGCCTGACCACCGATCCCGTTAGTGGCCTCTTACAACAAGCATGGGTTACGGAAGGCACATTCTAACCCGGACCTTCACAGGTATCAGGAAGAGAACCGGAAAAGGTGGTGGTCACGGTGTTTATCCCTTTGAAATGTTGAGACGATACTTTGTTTACGTCAGCCATCTGTTTCTAGCAAATGTACAGTCATTGGACATAAGTATTCGTCAGTCGGCAAAATTCCTCATAGACTTGCATGTTATTTTTAGTGTAGATGTAATAATTTTCATTAGTTCCGCTTTGTACTGTATGGCTGTACTTTGGCGACGTCAAAGTTTGGGATCTTTCGGAATTATCAATTACATGTATGTATTAAAAATCTCGTCAGATCTGAGTAATCATAGAATCAAGTTATGCAGGAAACTTTACGTCCCATGAAACGCAAAACACAACTTTGCAGATTCTGATAATTTTCGGTATGGACTTACAGTAACAAATTATCCAAAATGCAAATACAACATATAAATTACGCAAAACCCCGCGAAATCGGAGTTCAAACGATTCACTACTTTCACCCCAGCTGGGTGCTTTCCTTCGAGGGGAAGTACAATCCAAGTACACAATATTGCACTTTTGATTTGCGATTGTACGCTTATAATTTTGTTTATTTGTTTTTTCATAATCAGCAATGTATATATTAGATGTCATGAATACATGAGTACTGTAAATGATAACTTCAAGTGTTTTAATTATGTTTTAATTATGTTTTGGTTGCATCTAAGCTTTAAGTGTAATCATAAAAGGTGTCGTGGAGGTTATTGGATCGTTTTATGATATCTGTTTCTAAATAAATAAATAGTTAGATAAAAGTGTCTATTTCACGAAGGGTCTTGAGTAGTGTATATGCCCTGCTGCATTTCAACATGCGATTGAAATGAACACGGCCTATTTTCGCTTTTCAAACAACTATTGAACATAAGGTTTCAGATATACTGTAAACGTATTATATTTCGCGCAGGTTTTATTTTTCGCGCTTTTCGCGCAAAAACATTTTAGCGCGAAAAATTTATACACCGCGAATAAACCTGTCATTCATTCAGTCTAGTCACGCTCGCCCCTGAGTTGTTACCATAACACATCACGCTTGAAGACAGAAACCTACGGGAATCTTAAAATGACGACTGATAGTAGCATAAAGAATCATACTTTACTGTCGCTTGTTAACATTAAAGGTAAAAAATTTAGGTACACTTTGTGAAAAAGGCTCCATGCTGCCATTCTTCCGCGCCATGTCATTGGATGCAATTTTGGTACCAGAAAGACCAATTCCTATTGGCTGGATCTACGCGCGCCTATTGTGATGTCTCGAAGAAGCGGTAAGACATTTTAAACTTTGTTTTCTACGAGTTTATTCAGTAAATACCGTTAACAACATGGAAATTGCAGCTGAATACAGTGATAGCAACCAACTTCTGCCTTTTGTTCTGGTTCTTCCGTGAGAGGAATTGGAGCAATTCAATCCACGTCCACAATAATGGGGCGGTGGGGTAGCCTAGTGGTTAAAGCGTTGGCTCGTCACGCCAAAGGCCCGGGTTCGATTCCCACATGGGCACAATGTGTTAAGCCCATTTCTGGTGTCCCCGCCGTGATATTGCTGGAATATTGCTAAAAGTGGCGTAAAACTAAACTCAGTCAGTCCACAATAATGAAGCCGAGACGAGATATTTACACGCCAGGCGTGGAAGGCGAAATTTCAGGGGAAGAAGCATCCTGCTGTCATCGTAAGAGTTGCTGGTAGGTGTACCGTTATTGTCTTGTCAGTACAGCTATGTGATTTTAGCAGACACATGTGCTCACTTAAAAATGACGTTAATAGCGCTTTAGTAGTAGTAGTCACTTTGGAAACGGGTCCAAATGATAGTTTTTAGTCAGGCCTACACAAAAAAATGTTGTGGTTCTGACCCGACCATCACTTGAATTATGGTGCCGACCCAGTTTTCTTTAAGTGGTATGAATACACTAAGATTTCGGATATCATTTTTTTCCCTGGCACCAACGGACATTGGTCATTCTGATAGAGAAAGTTGACATGAAGGTCTAAATTAAGCTTGATTGAATAAACAGTTTGCTTCTAAAAACATGTAGACTCTAAAATAAAATAAAAATCCTACCTACCTACCCACAATTTTATACAAAGTGTAATCGGAATCACATTTTTAAAAATTTGGCCACAAATGTAGATTTTTTGGTGAATGAAAATGATCACAGTAAATTGTAATTGATTTGACATGTTGATAATTCTTTAAATCTATTCAATTCCAACCAGAGGCATACATTGAGTCAAGTTTATCTGTTTTCATGTTAATATTAACAATAATATGTTGAAAATAACACTAAATGTTCTGAAACTTGACTAATTTTAGTGGAGCCCTTTATAATTCCGCAGACTTCTCCTTTGTTTATATCATAATTGTGGTATATAACA